GCCGAAGGACCCCTGAACAGCATTGATTGCTCCACTTATACACATCTAGATGTGTATAAGAGACAGGTGTGTGTGTGTGTGTGTGTGTGTGTGTGTGTGTGTGTGTGTGTGTGTGTCGTCATTGTTTGCTATACAGGAGTCCACAAAAATATCATGACTGTTTCGTTGGACTTTCACAGACTCGTCAGCAGGTTGAAGCATGACAGTCTGCCTGGGGCCTGATGGATAAGGACTCGCCAGGTCGCCCAGAGTTAGAGATACCCCTGGTCAACTCTACTCACACCAGCTGCTGTGTGTGGGAGGGACGGTGTGTGCCTGCTCTTAATGCCCTGAGAAATTGCCTCCAATTCTGCAATGGATGAAATTGGTCACTTTGCATACAGATATGGTGTGATGTATTATTTTGCCTGGCGACTTTGGATAACACTGAGTTTGTGGTGTGTGGTTGAGAGTGCTGAATCAAATCTTGTCATTATTGTTATTATGGAAAATAAATCTTTGACAATCTGTTGGTTGGATCTGTCCGCCCATTTTCTTGTGGTTGATGGCTTGTTTTGTATTTGTTTTTGTGTTTGTTTTTGTATTTGACAGCCCCACCCGACCCGGCTCCGGCACGCAGCCTTTATATTGACTGTGGAAGCAGTATGCCTTTTAATGATTCCAAGGGACGGCTTTGGACAAAAGATGACTATTTCAAGGGGGGTGGCCCATCAAGTCTCCCTCCAGACATTGTCCAGCCGAGACCAAATATGCTAGATAGACTGGATAATGTCATGAAGACCTTCCGTACATTCAGTCCCAATGACGATCCCCCACACTACTCAATCCCGGCGAAACAAGATGCACCTTATCTCCTCCGCCTCAGGTTTCCATTCTACAACTCAGCTGCGCATGGGGATAACCTAGATTCGGTCTTTCATGTGATTGTTAGTGGTTGGCTGGGCCCGGTGAACGTGAGCACAGTGCGGTACAATGAGAGCGAGCGTGGAGGGCCTCTTCTAGCTGGTTCTTGGGATGTCATCATCCTTGAGACGATCCTTCAAGCTTTCGACCAATTCATCAATATTACCTTCGAGGGGCCTGCGAACATAAGCGCCATTGAGCTGATTGGGTTGGGTTACACCGCGCCTGCTGGAGTGAATGCCATTGTCAAACCTGCAAACCCACCTGTGAACACAAATGCTTTACCGGAGCCCGGTTTCAACGCGATATTGAGGCTTGAGCATCGTATCAACTGCGGTGGCCCGCCTGTGGATAACAGCCTTACGGAGCCTTTCATCTGGGAAGGCGATTCATATTTTGATCCGGCTAACACAACAAACATCTCCTCCACAGCTGCTGTTGCACTAGGCTCAAAGGCCCGTCGACCACCATCTGCTGTTCTGCAGAGTCTTCGAACAAGCACAGGCAATCTAACTTACGAGGTGCCTGTTGCTCCTGCTCCTAAGTACTACATTACAGTTTGGTGGAACGAGCTAGAGGCACCGTTCAATAAGACGGGGCGTCTGCTGGACATTCTCGTTAACAACCTTTCGACCACTTCTGAGGCGTCTGCGGATGGCAAAATTGGCTCGTGGGACACCAAGTGGATAGGAACATTCCTCATAGCAGGTGCTCGAAAAACTCCAGGGACCATTCAGATCAAATCGGTGCCACTTCCGTCAATGGGAGATTCGCCACCCATTCTTTCCGCGCTGGAGGTGTATGGACTTATCCCTTGGTCCAGAGAAACTAATCCTGTCGATGGTAAGTACCTGTTTCGGGGATATGGTTGAAGGTGAGAGAGAACATGATGGGACCTGGTGGATATCTCCTTGAAGTGTTGCTAGTGCTGTTCTTCTCACCGCCTTGCTGATTCTTGTTGCTGTGTCTGTACTTGCATCTTACCTTGCATTAGTTATTCCGAAAGCATCAAAGAATTATGACTGCACAAGGCCTCCGTGTTGCCCTGTGGCATGGCAACGCACTCTTTTTTCTTGCCAGATGCATGCTATGTATTTCCTCCTCGTCCTCCTCGTCATTGTTGTTGTTCTCATTATCACCTTCGTCGTCGTTGTTGTCAGTGTCAGTGTCATTGTTGCTGTTGTTGTTGTTATTGTCCTTGTTTTGTGGTGGTTTCTGTTGTTGTTGTTATTGCGGTCATCATTTTGTCCTGGTGTAGTGTCCTGACTGCAGTCTTGCTTTTGACCTTGTCTGCATCCTCTTTTTCATTCTCATCCTCTTCATTGTCCTCATCCGCGTCCTCTTCACCATTCTCATCCTCATGCTTGTGCTCTCTGTGATCGTAGACATGGTTCTGGTCCCTCCCTGTGTCACTGCTGCACCTTATCTTCCTCACATGCTTAATACAGGTGCCAAGTACAGGTTAGTGTGATTGGCTGTGTCTCAGAGATAGATAGATAGATAGATAGATAGGTAGAGAGAGAGAGAGAGAGAGAGA